CACACCTGTATGTATTGTGTATATTTGTCTGTGTGTATGTCATGGTCCAACCCTGTGTGTCAGAGTGAACACCAGGCAGCAAAGATCAAAATCATCGTAAATCTGAAGGCTTTCCTTTACTTCTCACCTGAGGATGTTTCCACAGATTTTATAGGGATTGTGCACTTTTAAAGATGACTTAAAGTATTAACATGGGAGATGGCAGGGCTTGAAGAAAGTTCCAGAACATAGGGTATCGCAGTGAGACCAATCGTGTGAACCTGTGAGTCATGGGGCATTGAGACGAAGCCCTTCGGGTGGAGCCCCTTCCGTATGGCGTTTGAGGAGAATATGTGTTTGATTAGATGAAAAGATAGAAGTTACATGTTGACAGTGAATTTCTAAGCCCTAAAACTTGGGCGCCTTCTTACCTGTTCCGTAGATTAGAAATGTTCTCCATGTAAAACTGCGTCGTGCGCGTGTGACGTTTCAGGCCTCTCAGCGGCCTTTTCGTGTCCCGCAGGATGACAGCAAGCAGGCCCAGTTCCTGGCTCTGGCTGTCGTGTACTTCATCTCGGTCCTGATGGTCTCCAAGTACCGGGACATCTTGGAGCCCCAGCGAGAGACAGCCCGAGTGGGAAGCCAGCCGGGAAGGAACATCAGACAAGAAATAAACTCTCCAACGAGCACAGGTACTTGGCTTGGCCGTTACTGCAGTGTTCACTCCTGCTGAGCTCTTCTCAGTTTCCTCTCCAGGTGGAACCGGGGCTGCCCGTGTCCTAGCCACCTGGGACATGCGATGTGGGTGGGCTGTCGGTGCCGTGGAATGCACCTGGATTGCCTGAGATGGTGTCCTACCACCTGCTGTGCCCTCATTTCATCATCACACTTTTGGTTTGACGTTTTCTCCTTAATATAAACCTTCCATTTATGCTACTGTTTAATATTCAAACCACTCATCCATTTTTAAATTATCTTCCTTTAACCTTTGTAGACATGAAAGTTGAGAGTAGTTCAAGGATATGCCAGAGCACAGCCGATCTCTCATATCGATCTTTTTTTCACT